CAAATCAAATATTTAAATATTCTAAAAATTATATATCATAAGGGCTTCCTCTACATGCCATTTTACCCCCAATAAAGGCAAATGGAAAATACAACAGTTCATCCTTTTCTCTTTCCTTAGCAAATATTTACTGAATGATTTCTATATGCCCAAAGTAAGGCTAGATGATAGGGTTCCAAGGCAAAGCCCTTGACCTCACAGAGGTTAGTCAGGTGGGGAAGATCGACAACACAGCCAATGAAAGAAAGCATTGCATCTGTGAGGGAGGGCAGAGCAAAGGGTCCTCTAATGAGAACCAAATCCTACAATAAATGAATCCAACCTGTTCCTGAGGTTAGAAAGAAAAAAACAAAACTGAAGGCTGAATAATAGTTACTAATAGGCAGTTAAATCTTCATCTAGTTATTCTAGGTAAAACTATTTTAAGTCAAGCTGCTGCTAAGTCGCTTCAGTCATGTCCAACTCTGGGCAACCCCATGCACAGCAGCCCACTGGGTTCTTCTGTCCATGGGATTCTCCAGGCAAGAATACTGGAATGGGTTGCCATTTCCTTCTCCAATTCTAGGTCAAGAGAAAGTACTAAATTAAAAAGTCTAGAGTTTATCTAATAATTCTAAGACCAGCTGAAATAAGTGATTAAGTGATCAGCATGAAATACCAAAGGATAGTTCAAATATTTTTTCTGGTTTTGAAAAGTTGATATATCTCATGACACCATGGCAGTAATGAAGCATGACTACTTCTGTCACATTATGAAGCAGTGGTCATGAGATTCTCCTGAAAATTATGACAAACTAGAGTAGTTATATGTGATGTCCTTGCTCTCATAATCCTTGACCCAAATTTGGTTCAAAAGCTCTAGACTATATTACTGGACTATATTACACGATCATAAGCACTTCTTTTGACCCTAACTTAGAAAAGAAGTCTTTATGTCTAATTTATGCTACTTATTTTATTATGCTGACCTGAATTCTAAAGCACACTGGGAGTGAATAGGCTCTCATTCTGTGTGATATTAAGCAATAAATTGCTTTTGTTGATATTGCATGTGCAACCATTCAAATAAACAGGGCAATTTATGCAAATATAACTGTTTTACAAAAATCTCATCATCTGAGAAAATCATGTTACAGTCCTCTCTGAAAGTTCAACAAGGAGCAGCATCCATGCATATTTAAATATCCCATGACTATACATGAGAGGAGAATTATTAAGGTCTTCTCTGGCAGCATAGAGAAACTGTATATAAACTTCCATGTCCCAGACAAATTAGATGGCCCCTTGTTGAAGGACAGCTTTCTTTTCTGACATCATTGTCTTGATTTGTCCTCTCAGAATCTAACAAAGGAGCATGCATCCCATGTTCTATGCCTACATGCACGGTGAAGATCCTTTAGGATCCAGTTTTATAAGGAGCCTTTGCTTAAAGACTTAAGCCTAAAGTTTGGAACTGAAACACTTTCAAAGAGTGCAACTTTTACAGACATTTATAAAGAAGAACCACAATACTCAAACTGTTTGAAAGAATGGAAGTAACTCCTTGGAACCTTCCAGCAGAACACAGAAACATTATCTTTGAGCTTATACTTGCTGTCTCCACTTACCCTCACATACACACACATACAACATGAAAAGGTCAACACTTCCTTTTCTTGGCATGCTTCTTATACAATGAAAGCATGTTAGTAAGAATAGCAACTCAGCTGTATCTTATATATATACACACACACACACACACACATACATACATAACCTTTCAGTTACGACTAAATGCAAGTGTTATCTATCACTCCAGTTATTTTCAATCTTTTCAAACTCAAGCAATAACTTCAATAACTTCACTGATTTATAAGAAACTAGTGTGGGACACTAATAATTAGGCATCATTGGGTGTTGTGTTTTCCATACAGGATTTAATTTATCTTACTCTCATTAATTTCATTCTCTATAAAAGGAATCTGAGACGTGGAAAGTTCAATTACGTGTCAAACATTACACAGAATACAAGTGATGGAAACCATTATGCAAATCCAGGTCTTTCTGAGAGCTTCGCACTAACTTATCTATATGCCACAATACCTCTCCTTACGTGCACCTGGACTTGTGTCTTTCCAGAAGACCAAGTTCTAGAACTAGCAAAGAAAAAAAGTAAACACTGAAAATTACCCTTGAAAGTTACCTAAAATTCCCTAAAAATGTATACTTTACTGAAATTTCAATAGGGCAAAGTTTTATAATCCTTTTTCTTTTACTTCGAATTAGCATATATTGTTGTTTCTCTGAATGTCAGAGAAGGTAGCTGGAGTCTTCTTATAAGTCATGGAAAATGAATATTTACCTCTATACACTGGAATCACCTTTGGGCTGGCAACATGCTCACAATATGAGCAGCCCGCAGAAGTGACACCCACCTAAGAAATGATGGAATCATGCTTCCCATCTCAAGTTTTTTCCTAAGAAATACACATACTGAGTGAGCAGACTTATCACATACCACTTAAATTATAAGTTCCCCTCCTCTTATTTCCTTCTTTCTTGGGGAGAGAGGAGGGAGTTTGATGCTGGGGGCTCTGTTAAACACACAAATGAATTTACTTAAATTCATTGTACATATGGTATGGTTCCAATGAAGTTTAATATAAATGCATGTCAACTAGCATAATGAAGAAGAACTTATTGCAAGACATTACCTGAACTCACAGTGCTTTCTGGCATTTCTGCAGCTGGCTTTTTAGTTACCCTCATACCCAAATTCAAAGGCTTTCAGATTGAAGTGTTTTATCCCAAATGGCTGCTAATAATTTTATTTTGAGCTGGGTCATTTCAATGTATGATTAGCTAAAATTATAAGTTGGGGAGTTCAGATTATATTACAAGGTCCTTTCCTTTATGAAGAGTCATATACAACAGACTTTGTATATGTAAAGTTTTCTCTGAGTGACACCAGGAATAAACAACCATTGGAAACTCAGCACTGACCTGTTATAGAATACAGACTTTTATAAAGGCCAACATTTGTCTTAATCCTCTCCTTTACTAAACAATCAGCATGATTTTGGCCTTTTGAACACTGCACATTTTGTAACTAAGTGGGTAGTACCCTTTGCTTTGTCCAGTACAAAGTTCAGTATTAAATTTGAGATTCACCTGTGGAAATTCTGCAGAACAAGATGGTATCTGAACTTTATTTCTGAGCTTTATCTTACTATTTTACCCATATTTTCTTTTCATTTTATCCTACCTATTGGTTAGTATGCCCATACTTTAGATATGTCTTTAAGTCAGCCTCTAACATTATTTTCGTTAAAGCAGAAGTCAAAGAAACAAAGAAAGAAATAAATGCATGGTTATCAAAAGTGGTTAGGCTGTTCTCTAAAGATTCATGAATTCAGCTGTTAATGAGTCTTACGAATCACAGCATGGAAGACACAGGCCAGAGTTAAGACTTATTTCTTAATCAGAAAGTTTCTCACTGAATCACTCCAGAAATGCTTCCCTTAGAAACAGAGTAGCTGGGAGTACAGCGGTGACTCAGAGAGACAGATTCTCTTTTAGAGTCTATGGGGCAAGACAGAAAAGGACAGCAACAACAAAATACGCTAACTGGTGATAACTAGTGTGGGAGAGGTCCCTAGAAACACAAGACCAAGCTGACAGAGCCCAGAAGGTTTTGTACACATGTTTGTGTGAGCCTAGAAATGGCATTAAGGATGAATCCTGTAAACCATTAGGAGCTATGCAGTCAAAGGTGCTAAGAGTGACAGTATTTCAGCCAGAAGGAAGAGTACAAGAACAACCCAGCCCTCCAGTGACATTTTCAAATTAGACATAATGATAAGACACTGAGTAAGAAGCACAAGATTCATAAAGAAGTCATGGCTCCCTTCTTTCAGCAGCCATGTACAGACACACCATCCATATGCTGGAGCCTCACATGTCTGAGACTGTGATAGTCTGTGATAGACCATCTATAGTCTATAGACTATAGATAGTCTACATATATAGTCTATATATAGAGACTATAGATAGACTATTGATAGTTTATAGATTTGCACCTACAGACTGAAGGTCAAACGCTCCAAGCCATGTCTTTAGGATTTATGGCATCTATCCTCATGAGAAGGACCTCTGCCTCTATCACTCTGTTTGTTGGCCTTACAGTTAGTTAACTATTCTGATCAATGATAGTTTGGATACTATCCTTACCACCAAAACCGAGGACCAGACTTTAGCCTAAAAACTCTTTAGGAATATCGAAGCATGAAATTTTTCAAAAAAAATCTATATTTACTAGATTCAGCATTTCCATACGGGGAAGCCAGCATATACATTGTCATGATTCTTAAGTTTGAAGATTATGTCTCATTTTTACAAAATCTGTCAAACATCTGAACCCATTACCTTCCATTTTGAGTTTAATAAGCAAACATAAAAGAAACTTCTCTAAATGTTATCTAATAGAACTGCCTCAAAAGAATCTACAGTTTCAAAGGATATCTAAGTACACTCTACTGCCTGGCTAATTCACTTAATTTGTTTTGGCCAAGTCATTCAGAGCCCTCACCATTACTCACCTTCAAAGCACAGTGTAACTGTAATTGGGTTTTCATAATTTAAACAATGCTCTTCATTTTGGAGAGGGGCAAAGAGGAAGGATGCATGAAGAGGCATATTTAGCCACATTTGGTTATTTTCCTTAGACATAATGTAATCCACACTACCAGCTATTGCACAGAAGTCAGAGAGCAATTTTAGTACTTATTATTTTCCTCTACTTCTTCCACTTTTAAGGGATTTCAGTTTCACAGCTTTGAAAATATTATCTTCCAAACCACAACGTACTATAGATGAGGACTCTGTAGATTCACTTCACAGGCAATGGGGAATGTGAAGGTAGGAATAGGGTTATTGTCGATAGTGTTCACTAATGATTGAAAGAAGCCTAAAGCCACAGACATTTAAAGAGGGTCATCTTGATCACTGTGATCTCATCCTACCTGCCTCTTTGGATATCTGGGTGAAGGATTCCACACCTTTCTCTCCGTAACTTCCTTCCGATGCGAGAGTAGACACGTAATTCCAACCCAGGGCCTTTACAATGTCTACCATGGCCTGGGCTTGAAAGGAATCGGGAGGGACCACACGCGAGAAGAAGTCATAGCGCCGGTCATCACTTAACTCGGGTGCCGTTGATGCATAACTAATCTGGGGGATCTGAAAAGACAAGAAAGCACTACATGAGGGCACACCATCAAGATGGGGGAGATTCATTTGTACTTATGACAATTTACTTAAAATACAGGTCTTGAGCTCCAAAGAGGATGTATGTTTGCCAAACACCGCACAAAAGTGTAAACCACCTAAATGCAACCAAATGCTATTTTTGCATTGTGACCTTTTATTTTTCTCCTCTTGGAGAAAGGAATGGGAATGGAGTGGGAATTACTTACATCACGGTTGTTAGGAGAAAAACATATATAACCATTCTAACATTGTGAATCACGCTTTAGTTACTGTACACTAATACAAACAAAAGACAGGACAGCCTAACTGTTATATAAATGTTGATTTATTTGACATGTCTTGAGAATGTCTGTGGATGTAATCAGCTATCTAACATTAGACTCAGTGCTGATCACCTGTGAGGAAATAGCTAGGCAAGCTTCATGCATTATTTATTTTTCATAAGAGCATTATGAAGTAGATCACTAACCCCCTAAGACCAAGGCAAGGGGGTTCCCTGCCCACCATCGCTTCAATGGCTTATGCACTTTGGAAGGTTTTTCTCAAAATTTTCTTAGCTTCCATTTGGATGCTGAGAGAGGCTGACAGTCTTGATTTAGTGACAGTGACCTCTGATTCCCATTTTTTTTCCCTTTGCAGAATTATCTGACCCTCAGCTTCATATGTGATTAACCAAATGCCTCAAGAGTTCTAGAACTTGTGTCTATATGGGTCATCCTATACCAAGTCCCTGGTTCCAAGAGTGCAGTCTAATGAACAGAATACTCCTCTTGGCTGGCAAAGTATTCATGTCCTAGGGTCATGTGAGATTACAATACCTCATATACTGATCTTAGTTAAAGTCAATTATGCATATACAAAGAAACCTAGAAAAAAAAATGTTTACCTGGGATCACAAATATACTAGGGAAAAACCTGAAGCTGCCATAGATGAGAGACATACCTTAAGGTCTAGCTCCAGGATCTCTAGAGTAGTTGTTTTTACAACGCAATACACTGCAGTTCCTTCTCTTTAACAATAGCATGCAGTAGACCATGATAGGTACAATTTACCTATTTGTAAGAATGACCCACTTCTACAAAAGTCTAGTTGTAACTCTACCAGGATTTATCCCTGCTGTAGTGTAAGGTTATCTCATGTACCTAAAAACCAGTTTTGATCTTTGCTCAAAGACCAACAGTCCAACTCTTTGCCCCAAAGATATCAAAACTATACTCAAGTTAATTCTTTGAGCCCTGAAAAATTCTACCCAGTACTAATGTATTTTTCTTTTTTGAGGGCATTTGGCCTAAAGCTTACCCAGTTGCCATTATTTAAAGCTGGCTACCACTTCTATAAAGCAAATTTCTCCACCAACCTCTCAAGGTTAGCATTATAGTCAGGTCTTGTGGTCCCAACAGTATTGCAGGCCTGCTCAGTCACTAAGTCATGTCTGACTCATTGTGACCCTATGCACTTCAGGGTCCCCAGGCTCCTCTGTCCATGGGATTTTCTAGGCAAGAATACTGGAGCGGGGTGCCATTTCCTACTCCAGGGGATCTTCCTTACTCAGGGATTAAACCTGTGTCTCCTGCATAGGCAGGTAGATTTTTTACCACTGAGCCACCTGGGATGGTGACTGCAGCCATGAAATTAGAAGACGCTTACTCCTTGGAAGGAAAGTTATGACCAACCTAGACAGCGTATTAAAAAACAGAGACATTACTTTGCTGACAAAGGTCCGTCTAGTCAAAGCTATGGTTTTTCCAGTAGTCACATATGGATATGAGAGTTGGACCATAAAGAAAGCAGACTGCCAAAGAATTGATACTTTTGAACTGTGGTATTGGAAAGTCCCTTGGACTGCAAGGAGATCCAACCAGTCCATCCTAAAGGAGATCAGTCCTGAGTGTTCACTGGAAGGACCGATATTGAAGCTGAAACTCCAATACTTTGGCCACCTGGTGCAAAGAACTGTTTCATTGGAAAAGACCCTGGTGCTAGGAACCACTGAAGTTGGGAGGAGGAGGGGATGACAGAGGATGAGATGGTTGGATGGCATCACCAACTCAATGGACATGAGTTTGGATAAACTCTGGGAATCGGTGATGGGCAGGGAGGCCTGGTGTGCTGCTGTCCATGGGGTCGCAAAGAGTCGGACACGACTGAGCGACTGAACGGAACTGAGCCACCTGGGAATAGATGACCCACCATTTCCCATGTGGCCAGTCCCCGATGCAGCGATCTATGACCACTAGGGGCAGGCTCTCCACTTCTGACTCAAAATCCAAAGCCAGTTTTGAGAAAGTCTCCAGGTCTCCTGATGGTCTTCATCTGAGTAATTTCTCAATTACAGCGGGAATGAAGGGCAGTGGAAAGAAAATGGGATTTTGTATTTAGAATATATGGAATAGGAGCCTGATGGTTCTGTTCACTTGTGTTTACTAGGTGAGTATTTCACTTCATTGAGTTGGTTACATTATTAATTAGTGTAAGACTGCATTGGAATAACAAACGGGCATTGCTTAGTGTGATGCCTAGAACAGTGTGGGCACTTAATACATGGGGTATCAACAATCAAAATAGAGAAAATCATGTGTTTTCTTAATATATTTACCCATCCTCTACATCTGACTTCCCATTTTCTCTGTGACACACTAGCAAAAACATTTCACTTACTGTCCTAAAAAATGTTTACATGTTCCCAGTATTATTGCTTTAGAAATAACATTTACTATTTATTTAACTCTCCATCATGTAGCAAGAATATTCTAAAAGTTTAGGGAGGGATTTTGTTTTATTCATTCACTTTTGTTGAAATACAGCTTATTTACAATATCATGTTAGTTTCATATGTGTGAAGTGGAAGTCACTCAGTTGTGTCTGACTCTTTGCAAATCCATGGACTGCACCATCCACGGAATTCTCTGGGCCAGAATACTGGAGTGGGTAGCCTTTCCCTTCTCCAGGGGATCTTCCCAACCCAGGGATCGAACCAAGGTCTCCCGCATTGCAGGTGGATTCTTTACAGCACAGTAATTCAGACACACACATACACACACACACACACACCCCTATGTGTGCATATACAGGGTTTCCCCCTTGGCTCAGATAGTACAGAATCTGCCTGCAAAGAAGGAGCTGCTGCTGCTGCTGCTAAGTCACTTCAATCATGTCCAACTCTGTGCGACCCCATAGACGGCAGCCCCCCAGGCTCCACCACCCCTGGGATTCTCCAGGCAAGAACACTGGAGTGGGTTGCTATTTCTTTCTCCAATGCATGAAAGTGAAAAGTGAAAGTGAAGCCGCTCAGTCGTGTCTGACTCTTCATGACCCCATGGACTGCAGGCTACCAGGCTCCTCTGTCCTTGGGATTTTTCAGGCAAGAGTACTGGAGTGGGGTGCCATTGCCTTCTCCGAAATGAAGGAGACCATGGTTCAATTCCTGGGTCAGGAAGATGCCCTGGAGGAGGTAAAGGCAACCCACTCCATTATTCTTGCTTGGAGAAATTCATGGACAGAGGATCCTGGCAGGCTACAGTCCATGGGATATACACACATGAATATATTCCTTTTCAGACTCTTTTTCCTTATAGATTAACACAAAATATTGAGTATAGCTCCCTGTGCTATACAATAGGTCTTTGTTAGTTATCACTGAAAGTTCTAAATGCATCCCCTTATCTAACCATCAGTAAACATCCTTCATTATACTTTTTACACTACACTAGGGCTTCCCTGGTGGCTCAGATGGTAAAGAATCGGCCTGCAATGCAGAAGATCTGGGTTTGATCCCTGGGTCAGGAAGATCCCTTGCAGAAGGAAATGGCTACCCACTCTAAAATTCTTGCCTGGAGAATCCTTTAGGACAGAGGGGACAGTCTATGGTGTTGCAAAGAGTCCAATATGACTGAGTGACTAACACTTTCACTTCATGTCATACAATTATTAAGTCATTTTATGAAAGAGGAAATTGAGCCTTAAAAGTAGAATATAAGCTCGCTTCAGGTCACAAAGTTGTAAGATAGAGCCATATTCAAACTTAACATAACCCAATGCAAACTTCTGAACTCTTAACTATGATACTTCGCTAAATTACTGCTAAAACTTTTTAACAATAAGCACAAAAGAAGAAAGAGTAGTATATTACTGGAGTGTAAGTCAAGTTTCGTGCACAGTACTTACTATAGAGCCACTGAAAATAATTTTACAGGTCACTCAGACTGTTGTTCAAACATTTTATTTAGGTGCCTTATTATAGTTTATACAGATATGTGACTAGATTGAGTATTCTATGTTTCATTCACGGGTCATAAATTTTAAGTGAAAAATAAAATCAACTGAATAAAGGCTTTGGGCAAAATTTAAAGGGAAGGAGGGAAGGAGCAAGAAAAATACCTTTCTTATGAGACATAAAAGGAGAAGAAGCCAAGCATGGCAGTACAATTCCATCAATTTCAACTTGGGGAAATGCAAAATCTTTGTGTGGTTGCACAGATGCCTTCCTTGCCAAAATCCCTTTCTACCTTTGAAGGAGGGCTAATAAAGATACATCCACCCTCTACTTAAATTTGCATTTATGTAGCTGCTATAAAACACTGCAGCTGTGAGATGCCTCCAACACAAATGCATTTTCTAAACTGCACCCCAAATTTTAGTAATGAAAATCCTAGTGTAGCAGATTTATTTCCTTACTACCCTTTGAAAATGGTTGCTGTCTGTGGTTTATCCCTTCCATTAAAAATAAGAAATACCTACTGGCTTAAGACTCACAGGGTTCCTTCACGATCACACACACACACATCCTATATTCAGTTATACTTATCTGCATATTATACATATAATGATGCTAGAATAAGAAATGAATGAATAAATTTCATTTCTGAGATAAAAATATGGCCATATAAAGAAATTCCCAGCAGCAATAAGAGATGAAGAACAGTAAGAATGTATGTAACCTATAAAATATGCTATTAGTTATCACCTGTTA